GTGTTACATATATCGGTGCTTGGAGCGGGAGTGCCTCTCCTGAGCAAGGCTTTAGTGGGCCAGCCTGTGTGGAGCAGCTTCTCAGGTGAAGGCCGTGGCTGACAGAATCGTGGGGGAAGGAGGCATGTACCGTGAAGAAGGGCTTGTTCCTACTAAGGATGCAGAAAACTTGGCCTGGTCATAGGAGTCTAGAAAAAAACAGCAGGGAGCTGTTTAGAGCTAGGGTGCAGGCACTTGGATGGATTATATTCAGGCTGGTTGTCAGGGAGAGACAGTGGTGTAGGGGTTTATGGAATGCCAGAGAACATTTGAGGTTGTTTACAGGCAGTGGAGATAGGTGAAGGAAGCTCCTGAGGAAAGTGCTCTGCGTGAGCGTTTTTTCCAAAGGTATTCGAAAAAAGCGTGTCGCTGGCTTGTTCATTGTGCTGGCACTGGCCTCGTGCAGCTTTGTGGTAAATGGGATCTGGGAGGTGATGTGCCTGAAAAGTCAGCTTTTGTCCAGAGTAGTTTACGTATGGATCACTGCTGCAGCCCACCAAGCACCTCTGAGAGTGTCAGTCATGGAACAAATGAAGGCGGGAAAAGTGCCTTTTCTGCAGCAACAATTCGTGTAGTATATTGCAGGGATTGTGGAAACCACAGTGTAAGGGGCTRTGAAAATGCAGTGTTTAAAACACACACACAAAAATAACAAAGGCGGTCCAAACCAGTATGTGCCCAAAAGTATGCTAATTCCTTTTTGTGCATGGACATTTCTTAGAAACTGTCACTTACGTTTCAGTGTTTTTTAGTTAGAGGAGAAACATGGTTTTGTTTGCCAATAGTATTACATAAAAGACAGCTAACAATCATATGATGGTTTTGCAGAGGTGATTTTGCTGTTACTAGGATGCCGGTTTTTTACTTACTTGACAAACATTATGTGTTGTTTTTTATATAGATACTAATGAATGGGGGGGGGAAGCCTTTGTACGTTTTACTATTTCCATTATCTTTTCAGCATATGAAATGGGGAAAATAAGGCTTCCCAGCTCTTGTTTGTACATTCCAAAATAGTTTGGAAAATTTGCCATGGAATTTTAGTATTTGTAAGAATCCAAGTCTCGATCCAAGTAGCATGGGTTTACAGTAATTGTGAAATGTGTTTTATTCTTATGTGTGATGTGCCATTGCTACAGTTGTTAAAAAAAAGGGAGGGGAGTGGTAGAGAGTGGATAAGAAAGCACAGCGGATGTGCAAGCACTGAATAGATGACTTACACTGCTGTCTCATTAAGACTGACTTTATATCAGTGGGTGTGTTACGAGAAAATTACAAATTCTATGGAATTTCTCGAAGACTGTCCTATCCCCCTTTGTGTTGTCATGGTTGTATAATCCTCCTGTCGTTTGAAGCCTGAATCTCTGAATGAAAACGCATTTTGGCAACAGCTTGTGAATTRCTTGAACAAGGTTTAGATTGAAATCTGCCTGACAGCTCTCAAGTAATGTTTAAGCAAGAGAAACACAGACTACCAAATAAGCATAAATGAGAAGGATAGCTAAAATAATGGAGCTAAGAAGAGGAAGTGTTTTGCTAGTGTAAGTGGGTATAATTGTTCTAAAACATCTTAAACTTATATGTGATATATAACTTGTAAAATAGTGTAAGAGAGGTGTTTATCTAGTCTCTGTGCTTTGAGAAACTCCCAACATCGGTGTTGTTGTGAAGACTCTTAAAAAAGGAATTGGATACCATGTTCCTCAACATTTTAATTTTTTTATTGAACATAGCAAATGKTGACAGTGTCACTCACTTCCTCCTTATTATGTTTCTTGTGGTGGGATAAGCCTGATTCTGTTGTGTATCTTGCTTTTGCTTGATGGTCACACTTGCTGGCAAGACTGACTGAAGATATYCAAAGATCCTGTTGTTTTTTTAATTAAGAAATTTTCCTGAATGTGATTTAATAACTGCCATGTGGTGGACTAGATAGTTTTCAACAAAAGTTGTGGTTTCTCTGTTACATCTTGCTTGTTTGGGTGTGTTTGGTTTTGTTTATTTTGACTTAATGTGTGTTATTTTAGTGGGTTTTTGTTGTATTTGGTTTTTTGGGGCTTTTTTTTGTGGGGTTTTTCTTTCTTTCTTTTTTTTAAGCTGCTTGCAAGGACTGTTAAAAAGCTTAAATACCACCAAGTTTGTTGCTTCTGAAGGCTATGCCAAGCTGGTTTCAGGGASGCTTTAAGTTTGTGGTAGTGCCAAAAGAAGCAGTCCTGCCTGGCTGCTATTTCAATTTCCCTGTGTTGGCCMAAGTGTTTGTGGGCTGTGTAACGAACCATATTAAAAAAAAAAATTGTTTTGAAAGTCATCCAGTGTGTGGGTGCAGAAATACTTAGACTGGCATAAGGGAGATCATCAGGAATGTGAGGAAACACAGGATGGGAGAGATGGGACTGTTGCTTTAAACTAGCAGAGCCAGCCACCTTATTCTGTGGAGCTGCAGCAGTTCCCTTTGTAAAATCCAGATTTTTGTAACATGGCAGTGAAATGGTTGACAGCCAGGCATCTCCTTTCAGTTATTTGGGGTGGAAAGCAAGKGGAAAAGAAGCTTGAGTGGAAGAGTAGTGTGTGGATTAGAGCTCTGGTGTTTCWGGCATAGACCGTGTTCCTGGCAATCATGGTCCTCTCTTAAAGATGCTGGGTGTTAGTGATGACACCTTGTGCCACGCTGTTGTTGACACCTTTGACCAAGTTTGGGTCTCTTCTGAGAGAGCCACAAATGGTGCTTAGGACCTCCTTTTCACTGCCCTTTACCCCTTGTGTCCCTGCTTGAGCAGGTGTAGCCACTGCAGACTGCCAGTGAGCAGTGAGAGGCTGTGGGTGATTTCATTTGCTGCTGTGGACCACTACTGTGCTACTACTTTGTTGTAACTGTGGTGCTCTGAGGAATGTGTATTTTTTCTGTGCAAGTGTGCTGCATGTAGGAGCTTACTGTTACAGATGGGCTGTTTCCCTACATATTCTTATTACTACCACAGTTATTTTCTAAATGAGATTTAATAAAGGTTAATAAAAWTTTAAATTCTTGCATACTGTTGAGAATGTTTACACAGAGCAAAAAAAAAAAAACCCAGCTATGTAGTCTTTTAACTTCTGTTCCTAAGTATGAGCATTGTTTGGATAAGTGGGTCTTGTGTGTCAAGGTTTTTCTTATTACAATTAAATGGAAACAAAAGCTGCAAATAGTTAAGTGTTTTTTATTCGGTAGTTAAGGTTTTCTGTTCAAAATTCTTATTTTTAAAAAAATGGTATATCCATACTCTTAGAAAAACAGGGAAAAGGTAGCAAGTATGTTTTAGCTGCTAGGGTTGAATGTGGTATAGCCAGTGTCTTGTTTAAAAACAAAGAAGCGTGGCTACTTTTCACCCTTGCCAGTTGCTAGAAAAAATTGCTAAAACTGCAGAACTTACTACCAGAGTTTGAGTTATGGTAGTTTTAAGATCTTGTCTTCTGAGGTTTTAAAAGTGAGGTACCTATCTTGTTCTATACCCCAGGATCTAAAGAGCTGTCTAAATTAGGATTTTGGATTTCAGCTAACACCAGTTTTAAGTTAGAAATATAGATTATATAAGTATTCGTTTAAAATCTCAGCCTGAACTTGAAGTTTGTATTGCTTTTTCTGTGTTAGACTTCTGAATGCCTGCGTTACCCTTTACTGGCTAATACCATCTCGCCTTTTGTCTAGACAAAATCTGAAATGGTCCGATACACTACTGTGCTCCTTCAGAGACTCATGCTTGCTGATGATGAGAAGTAAAAACTTAATCTTTGTAAAGCATATATTTTGTAGAAATTGGAAATATCTTGGTCACTGCTAGTGAATGGTAAGTGGACTTTTGAAAGCAGTGTTTATGAACACAAATGCTTGTGAACACACATTTCTTCTTTTAGATGAAAAAAACATCTATGGAACAAGTGTGAAAGTGTCCTTTAGAAGCAGTCAATGTCTTATGCCTTTGGATTTAATTAATTAAATTGTTGAACTGCATAATTTCTGGATATCTAGTCTGTAGTGAACTGGGTTAAAATCCTGTTTTGTTGCTTGAGTGGAATTGAAAAGTGTGCTTAATGTTGAGTCAGACTACAAATATACATAGTCTTAAGGCTTTGAGGTAATGAAAAACTGAAAGCAGTGAAAAATTCATACATTTTATACTGGTTTTGATTTTACAATTATGCTTTGTTTCTGCATAACTAAAAAGAGTCAGGTTTTTTTGAAGATGTTTGCTCTTCAGGTGAAATTATGTGTGTTTTAAACAAGAAGCTATGCTAGAATAACCCTTCTGTATATATTGCAAGAGAAACCTTAAGGCTTTCACTGTTGTACTAAGTTCTCATCCCATTTTTTTTTCTAGTAAGATCGCTCTAGTGAAGTGCAGGGCAGTGTGCTGGAGCTCAAACTGGTCTAACGGTTAGCCACTGACCTTTTTGCCTCCCTCTTTCTGGCTACATGCTTTCATTTTGCACCATAGTCCAGCTCAGTTTGGCCCTTCATTAAGCCACTTTGATGACCAAGTTATATGAAAGTGGTTTCCAGGTATCAAGATCTGGTCACTGGAGGACCTGAAGGCTGTCAGGGCTGCTGTGAGGGTGAGGATAATGTGTTAGGCATCCCTGTTCCCAGGGCTGATGGAAGAGTGGTCATGTGATGGAAAGGGAATAGGATTTGCCTCTTGGCAGTGGCTAGCTTTTGAGCTGCTCCAATCTTAGTGTGCATTATCATTGAGTCCAAGAGAAATTTGCTATTTCTTATGTGTTGTCTTTTAATGATAAAAAGATTAATGTTTGAATCCATTTAAGCAAAAGCGTTCTGCCCTTTAGTAGATGTCCATGTCTTTGACAGTCTCACTTTTTGTTCTATAGGGATCAGTATTGCTGAAAGCACAAATAGAGCGTTTTGAAATAATTGCTTCATTGACATCAACAGCTTGAGTAAGTTTAGCTTAATTGTTTTTTAAATGTTCTGACTGAACTCTGCTATTGAAATTTAAATCTTTTGCTTTCCTAAAGTTTATGCTTGCAATAAGCCACAATATATAAAACTATGTCTTGTAAAGATCAACTGTACTTATCATGCATACAATGCAAATAATTTAAAGCTGAGATTGGGTTATATTRTAAACATTGTGCATCTGATGTTTGGTTTGATAATTACATATAACAGGAAAAAACCTACSAAGTTTTGTTTTCTGTCACTTTTGGAAAATAGGCATGTCTTAAACAGTTTGTAAGGTGTAAATTTATGTTGCCTGTGAGTATTGATCCTAAGAGATTACAAGCCATTTTCKGTAAGTTTAGTTGAACTCAGTGAGTTAGAAGGCATCTTCTGAGTATAGGATCTGCAAATTTGCTTTTTAGTGGAAGGAGCCAGTAAAAAAAAGCATTCAACATACTCTTCTTCACCAAGGTAAATAGTTTTTTCTGAGTTACATGGAAGGCTAGTTTAGGTTCAATTTTTGCTAGGTTAGTTAGGTTAGATGAGGTTGCATTTTTGAGGCCATGTGAACTCTTGTGGGGATAGTCATGTGGGATAGAAGGAGCCAGTTGATAGGGGAAAAGTTGGTTTGCATTTCTCTTCTGGGTTCTCTTAGGTGTGTCTAAAGTCGCTAACTTTTTTACCTTTAATTTAAACTCTAATGTTGTTTTTGTCTTTACATAATTGAAAAACCACCCAGGTAACGAGAAAGACTGTATAAAGTACCTTGTGACAGAAAGTGCTTGTTGTTGAGCTTGCATTTTTGATGCAGTAATTTTGGGCTTTAAAGCCTGTTTTGCAATACAAAAGGTAAATATTTTTGTTTTTCCCATTTCTGTTTTAATTGCTATTAAACAATGATTATTGAGCATTCAAAGGCCTGAAAATGTGTAGTTATTTGTTCATAATTTGTATTCAGGTTGTCTAATGTGACACTTTTTTTTTTTTTTTAAAGCTGGGCAGTTTCAAAAGAGAATGGTAATGGGTCAAAGTTTTTATTAATTAAATTGGGGATTTTTAGCCACTGATCCGAAAAGAAAAGGAAAAGGTGTGTATTTTTTTATGGTTAGCACTAATTAATTATCTATTATGACTGTACATAAGAAGAAATGATAGTTTATTAGTAATTACTTTCTTTTGGTTCTCATTAATTTATAATCAGTTGTGGTTTCCATAGTTTAATATGTGCTGAAGCATGTTGAATCTTGTTGCAAAGCCATATTGTTTAACTTATGGTTAAAATCTTCAAGTTGGCCATGCATTTTACATGTAGATTAAAAAGCAAAGTTAACCTAAAAAGATGCAGAAATGGGCATCTTGACCAGTGGAAATTCAGATCAGAGTTATTAGCTTTAGTACATGTGGTTAAGAGATATAATACCTATGGGTCAAACTAAAAGCTGCTGGAYCAAATACTTCCGGGTTTTATTCATGTGAAATGTACATTGTACAGGACTKTAAACCCCTCCCAGCGAAGGAGTAGTGCATTGGAAATGCAGGGGAACTACAATAGCAAGAATTTTGTTACAATATATTAAGATGTCCAGAGTTACATTATTCTTGCCTTAATTTGCAGAAATGTTTCATTTTCTGCTGCTTCATCTCTCCTACAGGATCTGTGTGCAGTTGAATCTGGAAAAAGCTTTTACTGTTATACCTTATCTTTTCAGGGAAGGTGTGTGCACTGCAGCAACGTTAAATTCTTTAAAATGTGGTTGAGCTTTTAATTTACTAATAAATATACTTCTGTTATCTCCAAAGCTCTTTTGTTTAGTAAATGCTATACTACTTTCTAATATTGTCATTTTAGTATATGCAAATTTTGTTCGTATGTATCATTTACATGGACTCTAAATAGTTCCTTCCCTTTTTTTTCCCTCTCATTGCTTTTCCTTTTGGGAAGGAATAGATCTACTGGCAGAAATGGGTCGCTCTAATTCTAGATCACATTCTTCAAGATCAAAGTCCAGATCTCAGTCTAGCTCTCGGTCAAGATCCAGATCACATTCAAGAAAAAAGAGATACAGGTAAGTTGAGGTCTTACTGCATGGAAAGGGATTTGGTATACTAGATTTTGTCTGGAAAATGTTCTTTACTTGCCTGATGCTGGGGCAGAAGTGTGCATAGGATCTTATTTCATTTTAGGCATTAGATAAACCATGCTTTGAATATAATTCTGTTATTTTGTTTGKTTTTTTTTTCCCTTTTCTTGTATTTCAAGGTAACTTGAGAATGCTAATGGTTCTTTATGATTTCTGGTCCTTTTGGTTCTTCCCTTCCCCTTTACATGACACGTTCTTTATCCAGTTTCTTTCTCTGTAATTTGTTCTGTATTTCTCATTAAGCTTTTCACATCTCAAGTAACATAAAGCTTCAGTAGATAAGCTTTGCTGTGTCTTCTTGTCTTCTCAGTTGCCTTCAGCCTTTTCCTCATCTTACTTACTAGTGAACATTACCATCTGCCGTAAAAAAGTGGGTCAATTGAATGTTTACTGCCTCAGCTGCTGCTATCCATGGGCTGGCATATTAAACTGGGGAACACTCTTGTTCCAAGCTGTAAACTGTGGTGGATGACAAACTGAATGCCATGCTCGAAAGTGGTGATAATTTCTAATAAGATGGCCAGGGAAGCCACTGAGKCTGTAGTGTCTTAGTCATGTGATGCCAGGTTTCACAGTCCTTAGCTSTATAGACATGTTTATTGTAATTAATATATAACAGAAATAATAAATGAAGAGAGATGGCAGAAGTTACTTTAAGACCATGAGTCTGCATCCTTTACCATTCTGACTGCATTTGAGAATCTAGCCATCTGGCATTTAGTGTCAAGGCACTTTTTTTCCCCCCCCCGAGTTACTAAATGTTAATGTTTGCTTTTTAATTTTAGTTCTAGGTCTCGGTCAAGGACATATTCACGATCTCGCAGCAGAGATCGGGTTTATTCTAGAGATTATCGCAGAGATTACAGAAATAATAGAGGAATGAGACGTCCCTATGGTTACAGAGGAAGAGGTAGAGGGTATTATCAAGGAGGAGGTGGTAGATACCATCGTGGAGGTTATAGGCCTGTCTGGAACCGAAGACACTCCAGAAGCCCTAGGCGTGGCCGTTCACGTTCCAGAAGTCCAAAACGAAGGTCTGTGTCTTCCCAGAGGTCCCGGAGCAGGTCTCGTCGATCTTACAGATCTTCCAGGTCCCCGAGGTCCTCTTCATCTCGTTCTTCATCCCCATACAGCAAATCACCTGTCTCTTCCAAAAGACGTGCGTCTCTGGAAAAGCAGGCAAAGAAAACTGAAGGGGCTCCTTTGCAAGATAGTCCCTTGAAAAATAAATCACAAGATGAACAGAAAGATACATTCGAACATGACCCATCAGAGTCTCTTGACGATTTTAACAAATCATCAGCAGCTTCTGGCGACATTTGGCCTGGCCTTTCAGCATATGATAACAGTCCAAGGTCACCCCATAGTCCTTCTATTGCCACCCCACCTAGTCAGAGTTCATCTTGCTCTGATGCCCCTCTGCTTAGCACAGCCCACTCAGCAAAGGACACACCTCAACATTCCCATTCCATTCAGCATAGCCCTGAGAGATCTGGCTCCGGTTCTCTTGGAAATGGCTCTAGCCGCTATAGTCCTTCTCAGAATAGCCCATTGCATCATATCCCTTCGAGGAGAAGCCCTGCAAAGACAATCCCATCACAGAGTGCCCCCCGTGAGGAGGCTCGAGTGCGGTCATTTTATCCTGAGGGTGGCGAACAGGAAACTGCAAAAGGTGGAAAGTTTATGAAAAGGTAAGAACTRAATTATAAGCCTAACGTTGCCTCTGAAAAATGGTGTCTCTTGAGGAGTTCTGTCAAGATCATTTCTGTATCTTGGAAAATGCATAATGTAATACTAGTAATACTAGTCTGATTGGAATTGAAATTAAGGGATACATATGCMTTTTTCTGCCAAGATGCTTCAAGGTCTTGACTGTTGGCTAGTAAAGATAGGGACATATATCCTTGAGGAAGAATTGGTTTATGCTTTTCCTCTATGGTTTGTTTTTTTGTACTAAATTTTTTATTGCTTAGAAAAATCTTAACAGTGCATCAGACTTGCTGGCTTGATAGTGAACTTTGTGCAGGTATTTCAAAGTTTTAATGCTTTGTGTAGTTTGAAATGCAAATATTCTGGAAGCCTAAAAATGCTGACGTGCAATAATTTCTTTATGTTGACATAAACAGCATCAATTGGTAATTGTGTGGTGCAGTATGACAACTTTGGTATCTTGAATTGCATTGCTTACCAAAGAGGGTAGGTCTTGGTATTCCTGGATTTTAATTCTGTTGAYTGAAGTTCAGCGTATGTTTTCCAATGAATGTAAAATTCTTCGATTTGTTCTTAAAGTATTTGCTATAGTAGTAATTTTTGAAAGTTATAAAAATCTTACTGGCATTAGGCTGTTCCTTTCTAATGTGACTAGTACTTCAGTGGACTTCTTATAAAACGAGTTCGAGAGAAAAGCTGTGACTGCTATATTGTGTATAACATACTSCTGTGCTTGATTGCAGCATTTTAAATTAATTTGTCCAGTCAGTGATTTGTTGTGTAAAAAAAAACTACTGCTTAGGAGCTCAAAAATACTGCTTAGGAGATCAAAATTKCTTTTGGATTAGATGTGTTGGAGTTGGTGATATTAGAACTTGTGTGAGCATAGCATRCAGATAAGGCAGTGGCTGAAATAATTAGTGTGTTTCTGTGTTTAGGAGAGTGCTGCCTTCTRAAGCTTCCCTCCTTATACACAATKTGGTGAATGCACTAAGCCTGTGCCAGATTGTGGATTTATCTTAGTAATGTGCTGGATCTTGAAAATAATTTATTTTTCTCTATGGTACTAGTTCAACCTTTTCAGTAAAAGCAGTGCAAAAATGAATTGTGGTCTGAATTTTCAAACTTCATGTGAATGTAATGGAAAAAATTACTAGTGTAAGAGAATGTGAAACTGGGTACTGATTAGGAAAACAAAATAAGCAAGCAGATTTCTAGGCATTCTACAGAAAAGCATTACATTCTTCCAATGTCTCCAGTAATGCATAAGTGACAGTGGCTACAGTGTTAATGGTGTGCCAAGCATTGCATGCTAAAGTTAATTGCTTGGAGGAATGTATTTTCATCTTCTTCTTGGTGTGGGATTGACACRAAAGAGGAATGCGAGTGAACTGGAATGAATGCAATCCAGAGTTACCAGTCTCTTCTTTGCTATCCACAGGTACACAGATGAAGAGTCTAGAGTATACCTGCTTGATAGGGGTAATACCAGGGAGAAGGAGGCCCAGAAGGAGAGAGGATCAGAAAAAGGGAGGACAGAGGGAGAAAGGGAATGGGAGGAACAGGAAACTTTAGATTTTTTCGTTGATAAAGAGACTGGGAAAGAAAAGTTTAATGACTCTGAAGGGGAGGACACAGAGGAGACAGAGGATTACAGACAGTTCAGAAAGTCTGTCCTGGCAGATCAGGGTAAAAATTTTCCTACTGCATCTCACCGGAATGCTGAGGAGGAAGGAACCAAATACAAATCTAAAGTATCAATCAAGGGCAATAGAGAGAGCGATGGATTTAGAGATGAGAAAAGTTATAAGCTTAAAGAGACTGGCTATGTAGTGGAAAGGCCTAGTGCAACAAAAGATAARCACAAGGAAGAAGACAAGAGTTCTGAGAGACTAATGATGAAGAAAGAAACTCAGTCACCTGAGCAGGTAAAGTCTGAAAAGCTCAAAGAACTCTTTGATTACAGTCCTCCTCTACACAAGAATCTGGATGCGAGAGAAAAATCTACCTTCAGAGAGGAGAGCCCACTTAGGATCAAAATGATAGCCAGTGACTCCCATCGTCCTGAAGTTAAACTCAAAATGGCGCCAGTACCTCTTGATGATTCCAATAGGTAAATTATTCCACTGTACAGTGTGGTTCTCCACCTGCCTGCAGTGTCGTTCATATTTATTTAAACTAGTGGTTTCTTTTTGTGTGTCTCTTGTTGTTGATGCATTTTAGACCTGCTTCCTTGACTAAAGACAGGCTGCTTGCTAGCACACTTGTCCATTCCGTCAAGAAGGAGCAAGAGTTCCGATCCATCTTTGACCACATTAAGTTGCCACAGGCCAGCAAAAGCACATCAGAGTCATTTATTCAGCACATTGTGTCCTTGGTTCACCATGTCAAAGGTATGTATTTAGTTTATTGTTCTGGACACATGTCTGACAACTTCATTTAAACCTATTGGCTTTTTGTAGTACAGGAAGATATCAGGCCTCTTCTAATGTTGATTTAGCCAGACTTTCTTCCTTCTGAGGTATGCTTGAAAATAACTAGACAAAAAATAGCCACAGCAATTAAGGCAAAAAATCCACAAGCAGTGTAAAGTATAATAGCCATAGTCATTCTGTGTTTTTGCATAAATTTTTGAGCCTGGGTAGCATAGAAAGTTGGAATTTTTGCAGTGTAGTTTAAACAGACTGCACCGGTCAATTTTTCTAATTTCATTTTAATTGACATGCAATTCTATATTAAATGTTGCAGTGTGGGTTGACAGATGTCTTTTGACTGTAGGTACAGYGGCATTCCTTTCGGACCCTAGAGGTCATTTCCAGATTCTTATTGAAAGGGTTTTTTTCAGATTTAAGAAAAATTGTATTTTAAATGGTAGTCAGGTTCACAGTGATAATTAGTTTTATTCTTATATGAGAATATTTTCAAGAGTTTCCCTTATAGAAGCTTGGCAGTGGCTAATTAAACCTCCATTAAATGAGTTATACATGAATTATTTTCTAATATAACATTAGTAGCTATAAACACCAAGAAAAACCTTCAATGCACCAAGCACAATGAAAGTCCTCCCCAAAACCACTGAAACCCAAACCTAGACATCAAAATAGATATACTTCACTTAGGTCATATAACCACTGAAGTTTTTTGATGGGAAAATAGGTAATTCCTAAAATCCCCTGGGCACGTCTGGAGTGTTCTTTAAATGCTTTTTTTCTATAGCATTTGCTTTATTTCACTGGACTGTTGTGTTAAATGTGGCTGAGATAATACGAAGCTGGTGAAAGTAATTTGCCATATCATTGTACTAAAGGGGGWATATGGAAATGCTTAATTGGGTACCAGTCTCSACGAATCTGCCTGTAAGTGTTGTTTTTAAGACGTGTTAGCTTCTAAAATTGCTGAGATTTGTGTGTTAGAAATAGATGCTAAAGTTCAGTTAAAAATCTCACTTTGTTGGCATAATTCAGATTACTAAAGCCAAATTAKTTCCTTCATATTGAATTACTTATGAAGTACTAGTCAACAATAAGGGATTATAATAATGTATTAGATTAAAAAAAATGCGGGAATAACTGTTTAGTGTGTAATGACTTGTGAAGATATCTGTTTATTGATATGTAAAGAAATGTAAGACTCAATCCAGTGAGAGCTTCTTAAGTTTTTGCTTATGTAGTATATATGTAACTGTAGGTGAAAATAATACTTCTAGAACTCGGACATGTTGATCAGACAATACACTTTTTCTGTAAAATTTTGTATGTTGACTGTCTGGTAAATTTAACAGCCTGTCTGGTCAAGTTACTAGAATGTGTACAGTTAGAGTTGTTTTTGAAAGTAGAGCATCTCTTTAAGTTTCAGATTTACTGTGATCTGTGATCAGAGWTTTTGTAACTTTTTTGACAAACTGAAGTTATGTTCATTATTGGTGTGATGCGACCAGTCTGAACAGCTCTTGATTAATGTAGAGCTGAAAATGCCCAGTGATGTTTTCTTTTTCATTGTAACTAGGTCCTGGAATGTGTTTTGAAATGGCAAAATCCATGTTACAAAAGTAAAATAGCTGTTGAAAGATACAGATGCCAAACAGGCAAAGTTGAACCTTCTGTCTTCCTGGCAAAAATGGCATAAAAACAGAGTTGCTAGCTCAAATTCCTGTGTTTGATGGAATTATGATTGAGGCACTACCCTTGTAGTGGCCGTTTCAAGTTTTAATGGTTGGTTATGAGACAAATGCTGGATGCCGGGCGGTAAGTTGATACAGATGTATGTTGACCTGTTAAGCAGATAGCTTGCTTCATATGTAACATTTCATAGCTCATGACTTTATGTATTTCTATATTACATTTAAACACATTTGTTGAGCTGGTTTAAAAACTGAGTTTTGCTGTGGCTAGTTTAACTGTCTCTGAAGGAAGGAGAATATTTGTCAGAAAAGCTGTCAAGTTTGCCAAGATGCCAGATGCTTAAATGAATTTATTTATGCATAGGTGTTTTAATTGTATCGTTTATCATCACAACTTCCAATCAGAAACTGTATTCCTTTTAAAAAAAAGACTTGTCAGGTCATTCATGTAGTTAATGAAGCATACGTTAATTGTTTTCACTAATTCTTAAGGATGAGATGAATGGTAAAATATACTTACAGCAAGTAATCATAATACAAAAGTAATTTCACTTTCTCTTGTGGTCAAAGTGTAAAATAACTGTTTCAGAAATAGCTCTTTCTCTATCATTTGAGGAAAATGTAATTGAAAATTAGCAAGTCCAATCAGTAAATGATGCTTGAATTAGATGTAGTACAGTCATGGCATAGTAGACTTGCAGTGATGCTGTGCGCTGTTACTTTGGGTTACAGAGTGTGTWAAAATAGGGAAAACACCAAATTTGCTTGTCCCGATAAATTTATTTCAAAAATACTGTGGTTTTGCCTGCTACTTGCCTTTCTGTCAGGAGTAAAATTCATGTCAGTTGAATTAAGCTAATGAAACAGTGTTTTTTCTATTRTAACCAACAGAGCAATACTTCAAGTCAGCTGGAATGACCCTAAATGAGAGATTCACTGCATATCAAAAAGCTACTGAAGAACACTGCACCCGKCAAAAGAGCCCAGAAATACATAGGTATATGTTAACTGCATATGCAGATGCTTTCTGTTTCAAATAATGTCTTCTAGTATTTCTTTTGAGAACGCAAAATACTTTTTCGAATCTGTATGAGGTAATTTGTATAATTGCAAAATACAAGAAAAAACCTTCTGTAAAAGAGAACTCATCTGAGTCAAGTCTGGCTTCATCTGTGGTTTTGTGACAGATGTCTTCTCTACCTCTGTATCTCATTTGGGATATATTTACTTTTCTCACATGCAGTGCTCAAATATTGAGGGGCATATGTCTTGAAGATGAAAAGAAGCCCTGTACATGCATCTTTCTTCTTCAGTGTGAAATGTTCCATCTCATACTACTTTAGTTTTTGTGTGTGTTAATTTACAGCAGTTTTTTGAAAAATCTGAGAATCTAAAAGGTAAGAAGGTAGGCATGCAGATGTAGTGTCTGACTATGTGCTCTAGTTTTATGATGCAGTGTACTATATTTGTGTTGCATGTGAGGATACAGTATCCAACTTTACAAGTTTTCTTAACTGTTAAGTATTTTTGACTTTACAGCAAACGATCATAGTGCTGATGATTTCTTGGAGGGGGTGGGCTTTCAGCTGGCTACATACATCCATCTTTTTGAAATAAATCATTAARCATTTCTATCTTTCAAACTGTACTTAAAATGTGAAACATCAGTCTACMTATTTTCAGTATTTGTATTTTTAGYGTACTTTACACAGAACAGAACCTTAGTTTTTAATTTTTAGTCTGCTTCTGTATTATTACGGTGAGGTTTAGTAATGCAAAAAGTTTATTCTGCTGTAAAAAATGCCTYGTTTGTCAGTTTTCTGTTGAAATGAAATGTCTAAGTCTGTTAATAGTCATGTACATGTATGGCGAGACACTGCTTTTATTTTACACTTAGGAGGATTGACATCTCTCCAAGTACCCTGAGGAAGCATACCCGTTTAGCAGGTGAAGAGAGAGTCTTTAAAGAAGAAAGTCAAAAAGTAGGTTCTAAGTCAATGTCCTATCTGTGCTACTAAACTTACTGTCTCCCTTTAAGTCTCAACTTCATCTCTGTTTTCTGTATAAAAATTTTGAGAAGGTTTGTATTTATTGTACCTGGAGTACTTGCATTTAGAGTTGTTTTCCCTTTGAGTAGAACATGTTACCAAGAAGCTGGTTTATGTAGCATGATTTTGCGATATTAATAACATGGTATGTAAGGTCAAGTCTTCTTCCAGGCTTCCTTTCTTCTTGCTTGTTTCTTGACCACTAAGCTGCCCAAGGACACTGAATAGGTGTTGGGGCAGAGGGAAGTACCAAGATGGTCAGTGAGTCGTGTGGTTGAAGTGCAAACGTGCTTGTGCTCTGTTTAAAAACAATTCACCAGAAGATACAAGTACTTAATTATCACCCCAAACCATGTGTTATGGACTGTATTACCAAAAACTAGATACCAGTTGGTTGGATGGGAATGCTTGTTTGAAACTGACGTTCTTAGCTGTTCTTTCATTAGACGTAGTCATTGCATGTGAAGGGCGAAGTCAATTTGTGTGCTGAAGTTTGTTGAAAAAAAGGTCAATCCTATCTTTTTTTAAAAATTAATGCACAACTTGCTTTTTCACTGAGATTCTCTTGTTTTGCTTCAATATTTTGTTCCAAAATATAAATTTTTTTACAGGGAGATAAAAAATTAAGGTGTGATTCTGCTGATCTTCGGCATGACATTGACCGACGTAGAAAAGAACGAAGTAAAGAGCGAGGAGACTCAAAGGGTTCCAGGGAATCCAGTGGGTCAAGAAAGCAGGAGAAAACTCCAAAAGATTACAAGGATTACAAATCTTACAAAGATGACAGGTAAGTATTTGAAGTCCCTAATAGAGGATTTTAGCTTCTAATTAGCCTTTTTTAATTGTAAGCTTAATTGCTTTCAATTTTCAATGTATAATGGAACATTTAATTTTAAACAATTAAAATTATTTGTTTTACAGCAAATATGTATTATCTGTCTTTTACACGGCTTATGGTGGATGAGGACAAAAACTTTGGAATAGCAAGCTAACACTGAAAAAAAAAATGACAAATTAATCTGTCCTATTATCCAGGCTACATCAGGAGGTTGGACTTCAATGCAGTACATTTCTATAAACAGTTTGTGTAAGAACTTTGGTTCGTTATGCTTGATTCCGCACTTTTTCAACTCATAACACCCAGAGTATGAGAATTTTACTGATACTTAGGTTTTAACATGGGTGAGAAGGGGAATTTTAAAATTTTTATCCAAAGCCAGTGGGCTGTTTTAAGAAAAAAAAAGTTATCATATCTCAGTGGATACTGTGTAGAAGTGGTAAGAGTCACTTCAGGTATGACCTTTCTTTGAATAGAATGTTAAAATCTTGTAAATTGGGTCAAATTAATACCACTATGGGGTTATTAAAAGTTTTACTGTAGACATTTTTTCCCTGCTTTTTACTGTATATAAAATGAGTTTTTACTTACGCTTCCTGTTTCCCATTTACTTTGAACTTTGGTATCCACATTTTCTTCCACTGGCTAATTTCCCTGCAACCATCTTTGTAGGGAAGCCCTTACCATACCTCTCAACAGTGTGCAAACTGAACTGTGTCAAGTTATTGTAAAACTTTACCTTGAGGGCTTTTTCCCTTTAACTTCTGTTTTCCTGCCTCAGAAAAAAGGCAGACCTTAAAAGTAACAGAATCTCTTCATGATATCTACAAAATCTGTATTTTACAGTTTGCAGACTGCTGCTTTCCAACTCACCAGCAATAATATGCATTTAGTGCACTTAAATGTGTCAGAGGAGGCTGGAAAGTGGAAATATACTTCGCCTTAATATCTCAGATATGTAATGTGTGACTTTATAACCAGAAGGGGGTTAGTTTTTCATAAAGTATAGAGAGACCTGGTTTAGTATTAGCATATTACAGCCTATCTAGTACTTTTAAAATAGCACATAGTATATTTTTTTATTTTTCAGTAAACARAAAAGAGATCAAGACCGTGCTCGGTCCTCCCCATCTTCCTCCCCATCTTCTTCCTCATCCAGTTCTCGAGAAGAAAAGGATTGCAAGAAAGAAAGAGAYGAAGAGTTCAAAACCCATCATGAACAGAAAGAATACTCTGGTTTTGCAGGAGTCAACAGGCCAAGAGGCACCTTTGTAAGTTTTTCTCTCACTCTTGCTCCAAGTTATGAACACTTCACCAATGGTAATACTGTAGCAAAGAAAATGAGGGAGTGTTGCAGTGATTCATGTTAGGCTGGATGAGGTTTCTGTATGTGAAGTAATGAACCTTMAATGTTGAATCTCTTTTTTTGCCACCACTCCCCAATGATAGTTAAATGATAGAGATCATAGCATAAGGCTGGGAAAAAGGATTTCTTGATTATTCCTTGCTCTTCTGTAATAATGCTGTTTCTAACAGGATCTAAAAATTTAGTGTTCTGTAAATTTTAAATCTTGGGTCCTGTTATCTTTTAGCTCCCTGCAGCTTCTGTTTTTCCCTCTCACTTTGGGTTTAGTTTTGCCYTCCTTTGTGTGTAATGCCTGCAACTTGTTAAATGGAGAATAGCAGATAATTAAAATATATGTCAACCTTGAAAAAACTGTATTGAGAAGGTGGTATACTTGCGATTTTTGTGTTTCTTTGGCTTGGACTAGTCACTGAGCATAAAATTGTAGAATATCTTTAAGCATTGTGATTTGGAAAGTGACATATTGACCATTATAGTTGTCAGAAAAATCTTAAACTTTCAGATTTCATGTTAATGTAACTGGGAAATGTAGAAGCTTTAGGAAAAAAACTAGGAATCAATAAAGGAGGCCTAGAAAAAGATAAGAAGCACTTAAAAACATCATACAACCCAAACCAAAAGAAAAAGCCCAACCCACAAATAGACACTGCATACCCACCCCTCAGCAACATAGSAAAACAGACTTGCAAACCACAGTGAAACACACAAAAAAGTGGAAGTTCTGTGTAGGTGGTGAAAAACTGTTTTACATAATAAGTAGGAATAATTTCATACTTCAACAATAATTTCTTAACGTAATTAAGACCAAATAATGCTAAAATGCAGTATTTAATATAAATGTACATTGAATSTTTTGTATTAATGCATAAAATACATTTGGAATTACACATGAATGTCTGAATTGCATGTGACATGTCAACACTTGAGGTTTGAATCTTCCATCTAAAATGTGGCTGCTGAGAGGAAGATCCAAAATTCTAAATTTTTAACACTAAAAGTGCATCATTTCCTCCTTTCTTCTTATATTTTTTTTATATAGTTATGCTGTGGAACTACGTAGCATGAGTATATAAATCCTTGGATGGTGTAGGCATCAAATATGACTGTCAGCACAATTTCTGGCTGTGTAAGCTAATGGCACAAACAAAACAGAAGTTAAACAAAAGACAGCTTAAAACTCCGTCTTCTCTCAAGGAGATTTAGTGGGAGAAAACTCGTGATKGGTTCAAGCCTTCCTGTTTTATAAAACCAGATTGTATGTATTGTGAAAGAGATGATACTTTACATACAATTGAASTAGATATGAAATGGGAATTTCATAGATTTCTACTCATTTAGTTGCTAGTGACTGCTAGTTATGTCTATGCAGTGATAACAGGTTAATGTTCCCTAACAGCATACATGGTCACACACAGGCTTTTGGAACAAAGTGTCTGAGCAGGTGAATCTGAATAGGCCAACCTTCTGACTCAGGTCTCCTCTTTAGAGATACATCTTGGATAGTATTGAAAAATACAGAYTAGATAGCATAGGAATATGTAAATGCAGGCTAATAATGGCTGCAATTCCAGTGGTTACTGCTTTGCTTTTAGAGAAAATAAAATGCTTTGGTTGTGAATCCCTCTCTTATCAGGAAGCCTTGGAGAACTTAACATCTCCCTATCCAGCAAACTAAGGTTAAATCAGCAATGGTTTTTTCTCTAATTCTGTCTGATACATGGTTCTGTTGAATTCTAGGCTTCTCATACCTAAGCATCATGAATAGTTCTGAAATATGAACACAGATACAAGGATAAGTAGAATTTTTCAATGACAATCTCATTGGTGTCCATATCTAAAAGAATTCTGTGTATAGCAGCACTGTTTAAAGTGAGTTTTATGTAGAAAATAYACTTTTTTGTGGTGTTATTTTTGTAATGAGTAAGCCCATAAAGATAACACCACAGTAGATTTTATGACCCGTAGGTCTTTACTTTAAAGATAATCTAGTAAGGGGAAGCATGAATAAAATGATGAGGAAAATTGTAGATGTTTTTCTTAAAGGGAATCTGATCACAGGACCAAATACCAAGAAATGTTGATACCTTTATTTTTTTTCTCTTTTTTAATCCTTTCATAATTTTATCTTCACCCTGCCCCCTTCCCCCCAGAATACTRTTTGTTGTGCCATAATTTGGTAAAGCTGTTGGAAATGAAGCATGTCGTATTTCCTCCCTTGTGCAGTTAGTCTCTCACTTTCCAAATTACTCTMCAAGCATTTTTTTTTCCCTGCAGAGCATTGGATAAATTTTATGAGCCATCTACAGATTATTTTTCAGTCTGTTTGATTTCAGAGTAATTTTAAATCTGTCTGGCATACATTCTGCATTCGAAGTTTTGGAGCTTTGGGGAACTAAGTATACATAAGACTTACCTTTCGAGTTAGTTACACATTTTTTGTTTATGAAATGTGCTTATTTTGACAGATTAAATTAGTTTCCAGTCATGTTTTGGTACTATTACTCTGAAGATGCAGTTCTGTATTTTTAAGTACGTTATTTATTAAAATTGTATTCTGTAGTAACTGCAGTTTTTAGCAGTCTTACCTTTCCAAATTAACCTTTCTTCTCCTCTTGAATGGAGGATGTAAACTCACTTAATGTTTTCTACAAGCTAAGTATTTTCATGCTGAGAGAACTGTATACATTACTACTCATTGTATTCTGAGATAAGGGTGCTTTTTTGCTGCGACTTTCTAGCCTAACATTTTGAAATAGCAGTAAGTAATTAAAAAGAATAATTTGACACTCTTTCACTTTAMGTATCGCTACTCTGCACAGTATGTACTACTGATTTTTTTCTTAGTGAAGAATATACTCATTTGAAATGTAATTTGGCCTAAAGTACATTTTTGAATCTCAGTCAAAAACTAGTACTAGTAACACACAGAGGATATACTTCTTTGAAAAATACACTGGTAGTATGTACTCTAGAATCACCTTTTCATAACTGATAAAATTGACTCCATAATTGACCAYTTTTTTCCCCCTGACAGTTTTGTCCCTATTTCAGTCTAGTTTTCTTGTTGGTTTTTTGTCTGTGAACAGCTTCAGAAGCTTCGTGGGACGTTTTGTTCCAACACACTGGTTTACTAGCAGTCAAATTTCTTTTCAGTGGTTGTGGGTGAACATATGCCAAGAACTGAAATGTGTTTCAATTAAGTTTAATAGAACCATTATTTCAAAATGAATGCGTGAATATTTTACTTAAGGTAGTATGTGAATTTGAAAATGGTTTTACACTTGCAGACATTGTAATTAAGCACAGAAAGAGTATTTTCAGTAATAGAGAACTTGAACTCTACTTTGTGGTGTTATGTAAATGGATTAAATGACATCTTGGTTAATCAGTTTCGAATTAGGGGCAGAGGAAGAGCCAGAGGAGTCTTTGCTGGAACAAATACTGGTCCCAGCAACTCAAATACTACTTTTCAGAAGAGACCGAAGGAAGAGGAATGGGATCCTGAATATACCCCAAAAAGCAAGAAATACTTCTTGGTGGGTGTGGAGAACTCAATATCTTATGCATGCTTTTGTTTTTGCAAACTTTCTACGAGTGTAGAAGTAGCATGCATGTATGGACAGGGACTTCAGTAAYTGTGAGAGTATCAGGGTGGATGTAGTTATTGGTTCTGTTTGTCTTGCATCTTTCTGCAGCAGGCTGACAGTAACTGAGGCCTGATGTGGAATTTGTATCCAAAACTTTATCAGGGAGTGGGGAAGAAAGCAGGCTCAGACAAAATGTATTAAAACCCAACTTTAAACCAAAAAGACTTGTGCTGTGTTTTCCTGGATTTATGAATGTATGACATTTGACATTTGTCATAGATTGGTCTGGAAGTCTGCAAAAGTGGAAGATCAGGAAAAGCTGACAGTATTTGGATGTACATAGACTCTGTTATGAGCAGTTTTCTGCTTTTAGCTGAGTCCTGTGATAGTCATAGGAAAACAACCATAGTTTTGATGCCTTTTCCCATCTGGATTATGAAAGGAGGACTGTTGATGTAACCATTTTAAGTAGTGTAGTACACTGAATGTATGGCCTCTGCTCCATTTATTTCCTTAACAATGCAAACTTTGAAAGATACTGTTTTATCATTGAAAAGTGATAAATAGTGAAGATTAGACCTTCACCGGTAGCATTATAGCCTGTCACAAATAYGTTAATGGGTAACTAAAAAATAATGCAATCACAATTTGGATATTTGTGTAAGGAGTTCTCTCTCCCTACACATATCTAAACTTTTCTGATCTTTAAAGAGATGTGATAATCTAGTCATGATACTAAAATAATTAATTGTGTCTATTAACTTGAAGTTTTAAAAATACTTTCAGTATTTTTTTACCCTTCAACAACTTCTGTGTAATTAAGCTACATTATATGGGTGTGATATGTGTTTAGATTTCTTTCCAAATCACAAGTAAAAAAAMCAGATGTTGAAGCAAGTGTACCTCACTGTTCTAAATATAAACTTCTTTTATATTGAATAATGGTCTATAGATTTTGTGCTGTGTGTGGAGTGATTGTCAGAACTTACTTAGGCTGTAGTACAGACTAAGGTTGTAGCAAACCAGTAAGGTTTAGGTTTATTAACCAGAGAAACTCAAGTATTATTTGTTAATGTCAGATTTAAACAGTTTAAAACTTAATTTGGCCTRTGTTGTGCAGGTGAAAGATAAGTTACCTTTTTGTATGAACTACAAAAACACTGTGCTGAAGTAAAAATAATTTTTAAAAATCCTAGCACTTTCCTAGAGCTTCTTCTTTTAAAGTAACATTTTTTTTCCCCTCAAAACTAGTAATTCTTAATTCTGGCTGAGGGTAAGTTACAGACAAGTGATTTGTTACTAACATTTGAGTAGACYCACAGCAAATAAAGGCTTTTAAAGCAATTTTATTGTGTGGTTTTAGTTACAGCATCATGCATTTTAAAAATATATCTCATAATTATGATTTGAAGAGGATTTCTTAATGGCTTATTTGTTTTGTACATTTGTTTTAGAGTACTTACATTAAGGGTACATGTAAGAGGTGTCTAACCTTACTCTTTGTCTGGTTTTCTTGTAGCATGATGACAGAGACGATGGGGTGGATTATTGGGCCAAAAGAGGAAGAGGCCGTGGTACTTTCCAGCGTGGCAGAGGGCGTTTTAACTTCAAAAAGTCCGGTAGCAGTCCGAAGTGGACACATGACAAGTATCAAGGGGATGGGATTGTGGAAGATGAAGAAGAAACAATTGAGAATAATGAAGATAAAGACAGACGCAAAGAGGAAAAGGTAAATTGTTCAGTGACTTGCAGATTAGCCAGTTCATCTTGCYGTATATCAAGTAATTGGATGCATGCAGGGATCACTTTAAAAGGTTTTGGAGTTTGGTTGTTAACAGTTTACAACAAGACTGTTTTCTTTTTTTCACAGGAGTAACCTGGAAGAAAGTTGTAGCTGAAAGAGCAGCTCTTGCACCACCCACACAACATTTTTAATATGTTTTTTTGTTGTCAAATGAATGTAAGCATTTTACTTAAATTTTACTGTTGGAAAGTAGTTTAGAGAGATTGTTTTTGTTTTAAGCCTTTAGAAAAAAATCATGATATAGTAAACTATGTTAATGATCGTACAGTTAGAAAGTAAAATATTTGTAACAACTTTTAAGAAATTTTACTGTTTGTTATATGCAGTGTAATTCTGCTTTGTCCAAATATATGGTCAAGTACAACTCTCAAGTTTTGATTCTCCCCTATGTCTGTGTTTTATTCTGAAGTAAASTTACAGCTCTGCACACCTGAAATCTTGGAGCAGCATTTTTTATAAACTGATTACTACTTCTGTGTTGCCTTTTTATAAGAATTGTATTTAAGGATAGTTATCCAGTCATAGTGTAAATACAAAGTTATGCAAAATGCTGATTGTGTGTTAGTTCATGGGAATCACACTTATCAATAATAAACCTGGGTTCTTACTCCACCTGGCAAGAGTGCAGCAAGAATTTCACTTCAGCAGTGAAATTGTCACTCTTCATTAGTAGCCTAAGAAATACATATGCATATAAAGAATACAGTGAGTTTCAAGTGCTTTGATAGCTTAGTCATCAGCAGAACACTTCAGTTAAATTGGTGGCAGTATCAATCTCGCTGCTTTTTTAGCAATTCCTTCTACAKGTTGTTAGAACTGCCTCTCTGATTTCTCTATGTGGGCTTGCCTTTCTGGGTATGTAATGKGGCAAGAGTGAGTGTTTCAATCACATGTACATCATTTAAGTTAAATTGAGGGCAGGACAGCAGCAGGTGGGAGGAGAGATMTGAACCACCAAAAAATCTCTTAAAAAATAAAGCAAGGTATGTTAAAGCCTGAATTGGTAAAGATWATTCAGTAATACCAGAAGTTTGAGAAATTAATCTTACTTTCTTCAACACTGATTTCTAATAGATGTGCTGCAAGATTTTTGTAGCCAAAGTACAGGTGTTAATCAACTTTTTTTTTAACAAAAATAACAAACCCACAAGCTTAGTTTTAGTGGTAGGTACACACTTAGCCTCTACAATGTTAAGGATGATGGTAACATGCTTGAATTATCAGAACAAGGACATTCTGATACAAGAAGGATGATTACTTTGTTTTTCTTTCTTAAAATGCTCTAGATAAACTAAGTATTAATGTTAAAAGCTRAAAGTTAAAAGTGTAGTTATTCACCCCTTGGAATGGCATAATACCTTTCAAAAAAAGAAAAAAAAAGGAAAAGCTTTGATGGAGGTGTTTGTTTTAAATACTTATATAATGTATACCCTCTTATTTGCTTTACTGTTAGGCAGTAGTTAACGAACTGCCCTATCCAAATTAAACACTAGAAGGCAGGAAAACAGTACTACCAGTAATCTTTTCTGTAGCTGAAGAAACTGTATTTTAGGTTGTACTAGTTTGCCAGCAGCTGTGTAGAAAAGGAAATAGGAATAATGCTTGTCTGCCAGTAGTAGTTAGTAATTAAATGGTCATTCCCTCTTTGTTTTAGAAAGTTTAGGTCAACTATACTCTTTTTGCAAGATTTGCTTTTACATGTACAGTGTATCTTGTAATGCCTGTTTGAAACATAAACCTGAGTATTCTTTGGGCTTTTCAGTAAAACTCACAAAGGCTTTTTGTATACTAAATTAGAATAAGCAAGGAAAGGAACAAAGGAAAACTTGAYACCAAGGTCAAAGTCTGTCCTAATAAAGTAAAATTTAGTCAGTCTGAAACTAACAAGTAAGACCAAGGTATGCTTGTCATAATTGTCATGACCTTAAAACAGGTCATTAGTAATATTTAGGTCAAGTTGAAAGTGGTTTGTTGTCTGTGTGTCATAAAGCAAGATAATTCCTGCAGGATAAGGCAGATGTAAATTTTGTACTTCAGCTGAATGTCCAAAGACATCTGGTAGAGATTGCTTTGCTTGTGGCATTTGATCCTACAAACGTAGTTTTGATCTGTAGGTTAGATAATAAAAAACTTTTTTTCTTTGCAATCCCTAATTTCATTGCAGTTTATCAGAAATGTGGTTTGATTACAGACTACATGATGACAGCCATTATCATTTCATTAAATAAATTAATTTAAATTAAGAGACAATGTAGTCAGACTGCAGGTAGCAGTCTGAGAGATCTGTAAGAAAAAAGTAGGAGTGGAGATCACTTTTAATAAATCCAAATCTAGTGCTTCAACACTTACTAATCTTTCAACTTTAATAATGAATTTTCACTGTTACAAGAAAAAAAACGTTTAGGGTTTTTGCTTGGTGCTACTAAGGTAGTTGCATATCCTGTAAATGGAATTTCAGTGCATTTTTCAGGTTTTTTTTGTTAAAAGATAAGGACTATCATTGATGGTACAGGGAAAAAAAAAGTGTGGACATTATGCTGGTATAAAATRTGTAACTATCCTTTGAATTCAATAATTCTGATTCACTGCTCTTCAGCAATGAAGCACTTTGTAAGGACACTACACAGAGATGAAGTAGATTCACAAAGTTTGAAGCTATTGCAGCAGTTCAGATAAAATCAGGTATACATTTCACTAGGCAAAAAAAAAAAAGACCACCAACCAACCTGGAATCCAGTAGCTGTACTTCTAGTACAGAGCACTTAGTTTTGTGGTTTGGAATTAAATCTCACATCCTCTTCCTTCCCAGGAACAATCAGTAGCATTACTGTAACAGTGGGCAGCTGTGTAATAGTAAAGCTTTCCTGCATTTGTATTGCTAGTCCTTTAAAGGGAGATGTGTTCCTGAAGTTTGATTCATCTCCAGAGGTAATGGCTGCAGCATTAAGCCTTGAGCCTGTGTCACTTCTTGTTTCTTCAGGCTGGCCTGTCATGCGATGCTTTTGTTCAGAAGATCTTGCGGGTCCCTTCTGTATTGTTCAGAGCTGTTTCTGCTGACTTGAAGCGTTTCTGTATGAGTTTCCAACTACAYCTCTCATCCAGTGTGGCTGGTTACTGGTGCTGGTGCAGAGAAAATTGCCCCAGTTTTGCTGTTGCTTGTGAGACCCTGCCTCCTGGCTTTGCAATAGAACTATGTGTGTTGTTCACATCCTATTCTGTTGATCCTTCCCCTTCTTTAGTAAGGAGGCACTGGAGGAATAGGTAAGAAATAATATTTTTTTAAGGGAATTGATTTTCAAAACATCCATTAAAAAGTTCTGCCCTTCCTCTCCTTTGGCTTCAATCTTCATAGCCCCGACTCAGCTGTGTACTACAGTGTGTGTTACCAGCAATGCTCCTCCTTTGTGTTTGGTGTTGGAGGAGAACAAATACATTTTACAAGTCATTGCTAACATGAGTAACAGTAACTGGCAGCACTCCTATGGCAACTGATAGCACAGATGAAGGTGATCTCCAAGCACTAACCATAGGGCTGGAGGAAAAGGATATCTATATTTCTTCTCCTGGTAGAAGCCCTGTTAGCACTGCCAACTTTCTTGAAGTTTTTTATTGTTTTCCTTAAGAAACTTAGACATCTTTCTTAAAAATGTAAAAKTACAAGTACAAGGTTGAAGAAAGTGCAGAATCCAAAGCCGGGTTTTGAAATAAAGTCAGTGGGSTCGAGCGTTATTGGGCAGTTGATGGGTTGAGGATACTTTTGAGTATTTAAGTCTCGAATGAAGTAGTTAGGAATTTGCTACGTCGAGGACCCAAACAATTTCACTTTAGTTTAGCTCCTTTAGTGAGTTAACAGGCCTGGTGCGTTTCTTCTGTTGGTGTGTAGTGGGTTCTACCTCTTCTCGTGAGTACCCCTTGGTCAGTCAGCTCTAGGGCTGTCCCTTGGTGCGCGGTGTCCCCATCCTGCCCGCGTTTTCCCGCGAGTGCTCCGGGAGCCTGGGCCGGGCTGGGCACCGCCGGCGTTCAAACCGCTCCTTCCCGACACTCCGTGCGGCGGCCCCGCCTCCGCCTCTCATTGGCGCTGCCCCRGGCACAGTCGGCTTCCTATTGGCGGGGGTGGCGCGGAGCCCCGCCCCCAGCCGCGGGTCGTGCTGCGGGCACGGGCGGCTGCCGCGGGCTGGGCTGGGCTGCGCGCGGGGATCGCTGCTCGCGTGCTGCTCGCGAGCGCGGCCTCTCCTCCCGCCCTGCCATGGCGCTGCTGCTCGAGCTCCTCCGGCGGCTGCTGCGCTRCCTCGGCCGGCCGCGCCACCAGGTGAGACCCGGGCGGAGCGGGGCTGCCGCCCCGGAGAGACGCTGCTGCGGGGCGTCTYGCCTGCAGCCGCTGGGGCTCGGCGAGGGAGGGAGGGAGGGAGGGTCGGCACCGCTGGCGGTGGGGCGGCTTCAGCGCCCTCCTTGCCCACAGCCGCGTTTGTCGGAACACGCTGCCCGCACGTGGGGGACGCGTGGGGTCACTGCCCTGATACAGCCACTTAAGKGGCTCTTTTTGCCCTGAACTAGCGTAAGAAAGTCAGTAGTGTTGGCTGCTCGTGCTTTGCTGTTTAAAATGAGAGGCGACCTACCCATTCCCAAGTTGCAGTTAATCCTGTGTGTTCACAGTYGTGGGAAAGGTGTGGCGTGGGAAGCTGAAAGAGCGCACTGATGCGGTGCCAGGGGCTGGAGCTGGAGCCTGAGGTCKTGGGCAGCTCCTCGGTGGGGGCTGCCAGCAGTGAGGCACGGCTGCACTTTGTGGTTCTGAGACAATCATAGCTTTATGTACTCTGGAAACTACCAGAGTATCTTCAGGAGTGCTGGTTTGGCTGAGCTGTCCTGGTTATTTTCTGATTCCGTTGCTGGAAGCTGTTGGTTTTTTTGACAGGCCATGTTTTTTGAAATTCGCGTATTTGGCAGCAGTATCAGTCGTACGCTCAGAACATGCCTGCCTTCAGCAGTCTCATCAGGAAGGCATTTTCAGCAGTTATATGCTGTCATAAGGAAGTATCAGGACAAGGTATGTAAAATTTATTTCACTTCTTTGCTAATTGTTCTTTCCCAAGACTTATACAGATGCACGTAGTTAACTAAATGTATCATTTTTCTTTTGTCAGTGTCTCAAGATACTGGCCTTTGTGCCTCTTGGAAATGCTCTGTATTTTTGCAGTGTTTTAGACACTCTCACACCAATGTAGGCTGCTTTGGACTTCCAGCTTGAAAAGTTAGGTTAACTAAGCTGCATTATATTTAATTACCTGTAACATGAAATGATTAAATAACTTTGATTGTAAAAACTGAGGGATTAGGTTTTGCTTCTCAAATTCAAAGTTTTTCCGAATTTTAGGTCACATCTGTTTGTCAAAAAAGGGAATATGGATCTGGTCGAAGTGTTGTCCGTAGACTTGGGACAATTCTTTCTTTGGAGCCCTACCCCAGACCCTATTTTCAAGTAAGCAATTTATTGTCATATGTATGCTTCACATGTTTGCRTTTTCTTGTGTCTTAATTTAATTGTAGCTTTCCTGTTCTTTTTGACTTGTATAACTTGTGTTTTGCATCGCTTATACTCACTGCTTTCAACTTCCTTATGGCACTTTTTAAAAACTCCTTTGTTGAGGCAGGCCCTTCAGTATATGCTGAATCCACTTTCATACTTTTTTTGGCATTGTTTGTTTTTAGTTTGTTCAAGACTCACATCCATTGGGTTGTGATGAGCAAAACACAGCTCCAGCTTCTGTAGCTCCATCACTTGCTGATGTSCTGTGGGTAGCAAATGATGAAGGACAAGCATGTACTAGACTGAGGTAAGTAGAAGGATAAAAAGAAGTAATAGAAATAACTTTTGCTTTCTGTTCTTTATGGTGTGACATTTCATGATTAAGTTTGTTTTTCTGGCTTCCTGACCTTTTCTGGAGACATTTTTTGTGTTTTTGCAGTGGGGAGGAACTTCCTGCTTACCTGAAAATTCTTAATATATAAAGCATTCTTTTCTGAAAGATTTCTGAAATTGAGATTCCTCTTTTTTCTTCATAGTAGTATGTCAGATGCATTACTGGTATTTTAAATGATTTTTGCTCAAAATTATTTTGTGAGGGAGAGACCTGGTTGTTACAGCATACTGTACGATTATTCCTATCTTTATTTTTTTAGTTTACAACCTTTTTGGTAAACTTTAGGGTRAAACAGGAAGAAATATTTAAATGTCTCCTTTTGACTTAGATTTTTACAGTGCCATGTGTAAGCCATGATGGTTGCTTTGATGGAAATACAAACACAATTATTTTAAAAAATTAACTAAATTTTAATACAGTTTGTATAAATCTTTCTARCTGTTATAGAGGGTTGAAGGAAAATAGTTTCATGAATTACAAAATATGTCAGGTACTGAGAAATGACAAATTGTCTAGGAATTTGCAGACACAAATAGTATACAGGTTTTCTCTTTTTCTCTTTTCCCCACTGGGGAAGAAATGGAAAGTTCTGTTACTGTTCCTCGAAATATCTATTCAAAATCAGAGGATGAATTAGAGCAGAACTAAGATTAAAATGTGGACACTTGTATTGTCTTCCACTGCATCTGCATAGGACAATGTAGTTCTGCTTCATATTGGCATTTGTTTTTCTGTGATCTTTGTGCTGCTTGCCAGTWATGAAAATACAAGAAATAGATGAATTCAAATGACACATTTTTCATTGGAGAAATTTTGATACAGTATGTTCCATCTTACATTTCCTGAGGTATTACTGTTACATTCTTTAAGTTTGTAACAGCTGTAAAATACTAGAACAAGAACATTGTTGAAAGAATAAAAAAATCCTGGCCTGTTTTATCTTGCTCATGCTGTTCTTYAGCTGTCCAGATTCACAGAACTATGACAGTTCATTCTTTTGTTTTTTCCGTTCTTTGCTCCTCCTTCTGGCTCTGTGGGATGTTTTTCAAGAACAACTACTCTGATTGATACCTTTTCCTTCTCAATATGTATTAATAGCAAGAGGGTTTTGGCAAATCAGAAATCAGTGCTGCAGGTCTGATTTGAAGTAAAAGGATGTTTAAAATAAGGGAAAAGGTCTGTGCTTTTTTTCCAATCAAAACTTRGTGCATCTTAAATGAATCAGGTAAATTTAATTTCTTTCCATGTTTCATAATGAAATTCTGGTAGTTTGATTTTATACTTCTATTTCATGTCTATTTCTGCTGGCACAGACTTGAAACAAATTTTTAAACTAAAACCTGAGACWTACAGCACAATTTTCTTTGCTGCTTGCAGTGTTCATCTTAGAGTTTGATAAATGACTGAAATTTCTGAAGCCTAATTAAGAGCTCATTGTTCTTTGACTCTCTTGCCTTTCATATTCACGTGTGGAGAAGGGAGAGACACCTTACAGTGTCAGTCTAATAGTTATTGAATAATGACAACTCAATCCTACAGTATGACGGTTTAATTATCCTTGAGTGATCTGACTGATTTTTATGATGACTCTGCATTATACTTGAGCAAAGGGAGACTTGATTATGAGTAATTATAAGTGTAGTTTGTAAGTTATGAGTAGTTTGAAGTATAGTTTTCTTAAGTAGTTTGAAAAGTTGGGTGTTGCTTAACAATGATAACTGGCTTGAACAGACTGAGTGGTTTTGAGGTTTCCTTTGTTGGCTGAGCCTTTTGAAAATATGTCTTTTTTTGMTTCGTAGGACTGAATTGAGGAGAAAAGAGATAAGTGCAGATCCTTCTAGCCTATATACTCTAGATTCAATACAGAGCATTCCAAAAAACAGTACACCAAAAAACAGTGTTGATCAAGCCGCACTCCAGAAAATTTCTGCTCTTGAAGATGAGCTGACCTTTCTTCGTGCTCAGATTGCTGCAATTGTTTCAGTGCAGACCTTGGGAAGCATTCCATCACGTAAGTCCTTCTGTTCTGAAGCAAACCATTTTCCTTTTTTTTTTGCTTTAGAGCTTGCCGTGTCTGATTCTAGTAGAGGACATCTTTAACTTTTCTAACAGAAGATAGGGCAACCGAATTTACTGGATATAGATACTTTGTTTTACTTTTTGCTATTTGGTTCACTTTCTCCCTTCTATTTTGTTTGGTCTGTTTRCCAAGTTCAAATGCAATTGATCCTAAGTGATCTTTATACTCTTTTCCATGTTAGTGGAGTAACTTAGTAACATCACTATCTAAAGGCTACCAGTAACTTTTAAAAAAAGTTACAGACTACTGATTGTCCCTTTGGGGTTTTGCACTGTTTCCAAAATAATGGGTAGAGAAAGTATGCTAAGTCAGTCAGGTTGGGGCTTTAACAAAAACAATGCTATGAACAGATGTGTCCTGGGTGGTTGGTCTGGTCTCCAGTATGCACTGTCTTGTGATCTTTTTTTTCCCTTAAAAGTTTTGAGTCTCAGTTGTCTTACTTGCAGACCAGCCCTGCTGTGGTTGCTGACATACTTGGACAGTGCAAGGTAGTTACTTTTGTGTGGCATTGTGAGGCACTTCCATGATTCAACTGTTCTGTTGAGTCTTCCTCTGTCTGTTTTCCATTGCATCAGTATTGTAAKCTGTTTTACATATTTTGTGGTTACCTTTTGCCTCATGTAGGTTATTGTAACCTCTACACCATTGAGAACCAAATGTAGCAGCAGKCTGCTTTGCTGAATGATGTAATGCCTAGATTGAAGACACAAGTAGAGAAAATCAGAGCAGCACAAGACACCTCAGATTCATTATTCCATGTGTTTTGAATTTGTGGGTTTGAAGTAATGTACTTTAAGTTTAGTTCTTTGTGTTGTAATGTGCAAAATGTGCGAGAAAGTGCTTTCAGAGGGCACTCTTATCTTGATTTAAAACTGATTCACTATAGATGTTAATATGTGTTGTTGTTTTTCTTCTCTAACTGCRTCCAGAAGCCTTTACAACACTCAGGACCCCAGATGGATTTTACCCACTGCCAGCCATTTCTTCTACACCACTGTCCGTCTCTCACAATCATTTTGTAATTCCCTCGCCTCCTCCGCTTCCTTCTGCTGCACCATCTGCTGTTGATGCAAGTAATTCTGCACTGGAACTTATAAAACAACGCCGAGCTGCAAGTAACAGTGAATCAATTGCACCTGACTGTGCTGATCACCAGAGCACAAAGAACATTCCCAGTATGATGGATGTTTTGAAAGACCTAAACAAAGTTCAGTTGCGAGCTGTTGAGAGGTAGGTTGGATTGGATGTGCATCTCAGCAAGCCAAGGCTGCCTAAGCATCACAGCACTTCAGTAGCACCAGAGAATACCTATCATTTAAAGCACAGCTACTGCTKACAAATGGAAGTTGGCAACTTCTGAGTGCACCGTGTGGAATGTAAGATACTTGTGACATGGCTTTTAGATGCATTTAAAACATGCTATCACAGCATTTAAAACTARTCTATTGCTTTAGTATGCAAATCTCAAATTGGTGTGGAGAGGTGAGAGGTTCAAGCTTTGAAGTGTTAAAAGAAAACACATGCTGTATCCTTCATTGAAAATGTTCCAAAAGTTTGTATTTCAATAGAGCAGTTGGATTATAAATATTTTTAATGGTCAGCTATATTATAAATATTTTTAATGGTCAGTTTCGATGGTGAATGCAGTTGTTACAAAAATGTTTTGCTAAACACTGCAACCTCTTCTGGTCTCTGCTACACTAGGTGTAACAGAGATTGTCAGATACATTTTCTGAACTTCTGGAGTTGAAAAAGAACAACTGCATCTATAACGAATATTTGAAGTYCTTAATGTGGGTAGAATATCACTTGGCAAAACTTACTGCATTCTCATTTAACATTTTCTTAACTGTGAGCTTTATCCCTGAAAATAACTAGCACAGAACTTGGGCTAATAATTTACATGTAAATCTGAAGCATGTCTTTATGCTTTTGATGACATTTTCACAGTAAATACAGCAAATATAAAGCGCACTTAGGTGAATCTRTGTGTTTCCTTTATGTATGTTTTCTTCTATATAGTTCCATGTATGGTGAAAGAAGAAAATGAGATGCTCAGATTGACAGTTCTTCTTGAACAGGGGCATAATTAGCAGGGAGTAGGTGTACCACCTACCTAATCCAAAATGTTTTCTGGATTTAGGCATCTATCTCTATTCTGAAGTAGAACTTAACTGAATAATGAATTTATATTTTTAGGGGGAGTAATGATGATGAAAATTGTTAACACTTTTTCTGACGGTAGTTTAATGTGTGTACTGCTAAGGGAAGTCCTCTGCTTCAGAAACCRAGAGCCTGAGGATCCCAGTTTCTAGCACCCATGCACCATCTTGCATGTCGTGCAAGTGCTCTGAGGGCTTGTTTTTATAGGAAGCGTCCTCTCAGGTTTTGTGTTAAGCAACGTTTACTCAACTGACAGATTTAGAACTTGGTATTGTCAGTGTGCATTATTAGGTACAAATCATCAGGCTGGAGACAGCGATTTACCAGCAGAAGTCAGAACACCTCTAGGCTTTTACACACACACACATCCCCCAAGATATCTCAGAGGTTAGAAAGTCTTTCTTAAAATTTATTGTCTTGTATTAGTCACTATCTTCCACATTTATGAGAAGTTTTGGGGTGTAGGTGCTCTTTTGATTTTTGAATTTAAATGAACTTAAAATCAATAAAATTTAAATGAAATTGTGTTCACAGTCATTATGAAATACCTTAGTGGGACATTCCCATTAAGACACTTTAATATAACTTATAGATGACTYGGCATAAAAACTGCAATTTTGCCCTTTTTTTCCTCATTATTTATTTGCWATACTTTAACACTTTATGTTGGTTTAATGCCATTTTTCTTCACGGAGCAGCATCAAGTTTTGTTTTCAGGCTAAAAATGTGCCTAAAAAGTTCTTGGGTATAATTGTATCAATTGTATTTGGTGAATTGYTGTAAAGGTACAGAAGCGTTATTTGTGTAATCGGGGATTTATAGGATAGGGTGTTCACAGAAGTTGTGTCTCTAGATTTTGAATCAGTCAGCACAGGATTAGGGTCAGGAGTCAATAATTCATTTTTTTTTTTTTTTTGTTCATAGATCTCCTGGAGGTACTCCTCTTTCTAGACCCAARAAGAGGCAAAGTTCAGATTGGGATCCGGTTGCTCTACTAACTCACGCTCTAAAGCAGAAATTTGCACATAGTAATGATGTTGAAGATGATTCCCTGGATAAAGAAAATCAATCTTTTGATAGCTCTCCATTTTCTAGTCCTGAGATGCCAATGGTATGTTTTAATRTAAGAGTGGGTGTTTGTATTCTTGAACTAACTGCTCTTTTCATGGATAGTTGCAGGCTTTTCACAAGTCTGGAACTTCTCTATAGTTTTTTAAACCATCAGCCGCGGTAGTTACTTTCTTTGAAGTATAACCAAAGCAGAGAATCTCTAAGACAAATTATTTTGTGTGGATTTAGACTGATAAATACACTTCCTAGTGAAAAAACTTAGAAGACTTAGAATTTATCATTTCAGCTCATAGTTGATTGAAACATGGACATTTGCTTGATGGTCTCTGGCAGGTATCCATGCAGAGAAACTGTGCCTTTAAGTAGTTACTGATTTTTTTTTCAAATAAAGATGTTAGGAAGGTACAGAAAGGTCTGACTACCACATGCTAACTGTTCAGAAATGRAAATAAATGCATAGTCTGTAATATTTTTCTTTTAGCAAACACACTTTGAATCTTTATCCAAAATGAATTGTGATTCTGTTGTAATTCCATGAAAAATACAGATTTTGCTAGGAACAAAGGAGTGGTAGGCAGAGCCATTGGACTAAGATGATTCTGAGCACTGGTTTCTGTCGATCAGCCATGGCCAGCTACCTCAGCCTGTACAGTCCACAGTAACAGCAGCACTGTTACTTGTTTGGTTGTTAGGCATTTCCACAAACCTCAGAACTGCTCAGGTGAAACGGACAGAAAAAGGTGGCAATAATTTAAACTGTGTTGCTCTGCTTAGCAATTCTATCTTCTTATTGTAAGAGTGAGATAAAAGATTTGGACTGTGGCCTTTGTTCTCATAATGTAGGGAAATTGTAATGCAAAACGTGTAATAGAAATCCAGACATTCTTTTGGAGGCTGCTCTTAACGTGCTCTTATCCATGTGGCTGAAAACTTGAGGAAAACTAATGTGYGTGTATTCCTCTTTCTAGCTATAATGATTTTATTTATTTCAGTTGCCTCAAGGCTTTTCCAAGCTAAATGCAGTGTGTGTTTTACAKACTGCAGTGGGGCAACAGTTCTGGAGCATTCTTAATAAATTTCTTTGACTTTTTTTTCTCCCAAAGGAAAAATTAAAACATCTTAAAAATAAACATGCTTGTATTTTTGTATGCTGCTGATTATTGCACTGCATAGCTGACATACCTGATTCTAGATACAAAGATCAAAAAAAAAACCTGGAACAGTTTGTGTATGGAATAGCTTTTGTTCCAGAATCTGACAGCTGAGAGAGATTGCTTAAGKCCAGCATGTTCAGAAGTAGATATAAAAAGATGAATTTTTTTCTGTTAAAAGCAGAATAATTTTAGGACTTTGTAACCGAACCTCTAAGTATTAACTGTTAAGTGTTTTGAAGAACAAATGTACTTAAACCAGTTGCACAGACTTACTCTTTCATTTTTCCTATACTGAGAGAAGTGCAACAACTCTTCCCCTGTGTTTTTCTTTTCAATATCTTCTATTTCAGTTGTCTTGGGTATAATTTTAACTCCATCCCTGCTCCCCAGGTTGGACGTTGCAGCCTGAAGCCAAATACAAAAYCCAGCCTTGCAAGAACTGATGGAGTTAAGCAGGTACCAGCATGGAAAGCAAGAGCTCATATTTAGTCGAGTGAGACTTTAGTGGAGACCTCCAAGGAAAACTCAGTGTGTATAAGTGGGGGTTCACTTTGAAACTTCTGTAAGGTGCTGTAATGTATTGTTCCAGAACGTATCTTTCCTGTGCTATTGAAGTTTGGTTGTTGCAGGGTTTGTAAAATTATCTTGTCTTTCTCCTTTTWTTTTTTTTTTTTTGTAAATGTGATGCTTTTATGAGAAGCACAGAACTGAAAGAAGGCTTCCATTGCTATGGAACAGTGTCTTTGACACCTGGGAAATTCAGGAAAGCAGCATGTGTGTATGTAAAAAAAGTTTATTGCTGTGGGAGCTGAGGTATATGCTCTGTTTGCACTCCAGTGTAAATAATAAGGAAGTGTAAATTTTTTGTTGGTGTGTTATAACTACTGTATATAATAATACATTTTTTATGAGAGTGGCATAGATGCCTTGGTCTTCTTTGCAGTTTGCTGATGCCACTCCTTATTCCATGTGTAAACAGCTTTCTAATTTATTTTGGGTCAGGAGTTATAAACTTTCATGTTTGTGGAACTCTGTGCTGTAAGTAACCTGTAAACCATCTATTAAATGCCTGTAATATGCCAGAGTTGTGTTCTGAGGTAAAAAAAGACTTGTGTTTGAGATCTGATAGCACACAGTCTAAGTTCCATATGTAAGTAAATATTAAATCCTATTTTGGCACGTGCATTTAAACTCAGTTTTGTTCACAAAAGCTTATAAAATAAATTTTTTTTTTATGTCATAGATCTGTGTGGTAGTGGCATTTTATGTTGCAGACTCTTGTGTCTTAAGAACTGATTGTATTAGACAACTTAAATTGCATTATCTAAAACTAATTCAAGAACAACTTATATTTCTTCCTGCCTGAGTAGGTAATGGAGCCACTTATTTACAAATTTATTCTGATTAACTGTTTATAGTAGCTGCCTTCACTTGATCTTTTGTCTAGCAATCCTGATGTATAAAACCCAAATCCTGTCAATTAGACTGTTGAATGTGTCCCTTATGTATYCCATATTTCTATTTCCCCGCTCACTTACACAGAGTAGACTGACATCCCCTCTTATTGCTGAAACTTATTTGCATGGTTGTAAGAAWCAAGTGTTCAAATACTATACTTCAATTTTTATTTTAAAAATTAATTTTTGAGTCAAACTGGAGCTTAAGTGACTTGATATATTATTCTTCTAAAATKAAATCCTCTAGATGTTTATTTCTTCTGGATTTAGTAATTACTGAACTTTATCATATTCTTCCATTCCTTGATTGGTCCATAACAGTTTGGCCATTGCTTTCTTCCAAAATACACATTTGCTGCTTTCTCTRCCTACACTTGATGATTATTGTGAAATCCATACAGAAGATCCAGCTCAGCCCCATACCTGGTAATTTTACCCTCTTCCATCAARGCTCCTCATTGTCTTTTGTGTGTTGTTCTGGTCCCTGCTGTGTGATGGCAGCAGGGAGCGACAGCAAAGGAAGTCCACCCAGCACTTGCAGAAGAGGATGTGAAGGCAGATGAGTTCCAGTGAGTGGAAGGCCTGTGAGTTGGCTCCCTGTTGCTCAACATCTGCACTGCAGTGAGGTGGAGTAAGTTATCTCTGGGTTTCTGTCAGCGATCCTAGATCCAGGGGATTTCTGGGCTTTGTGGCCTTGCTGTTGTGACCCACTATTAGGATGGAATTCTTCCTGTGAGAGACTGAATTGTGTGCAAAGTCCTTGGTATGGTAGACTCTCCTCTCTCCCCTACGTCAGTTGCTTTATGGGACAGTTTCTTCAGGAAGAACTATTCTTTTTCATGTTTTCTGTTCTCCTCAGGGTTCATCATACAACTACAAGTTTGGCTAACAGGAGCAGTTTGCAGTGGGAATTTTGAYTTTGGAAGGGTCTTTTCATTTTATAATGGACTTCTTGGGAATTTCTCAGTATCTCTTAAGACAATGGTCTAGTGTCAGAAGCATCTGCAAATTTTAGTGAGCTGTGTGACCCTTCTGGTTGTTGGATACTCTAATTTTTGTCATTTTGATATGAATTATGCTGTGATGTAGCTGATAGCTGATCCACTTAGGGAAAAGAATAAGTCATGGGCCATGTGATTTCTTTTTTCTTCCCACCTACACATGTTATGAGAACAGATTATTTTATGTAGTTCCAGATGTAAAGAARTCTGTGGGTGGCATCTGGTAACATCTGACAGTTTTCAGTACTAAGACGTTGCAAAGCTTGGAAATAGTTAGTAATGAGAAGTTTTATCACTCATTGCAGAGATTTTTATTTTTTTCAGAACTTATGGAAATGTGGCTTTGTTGTCTGGTTTTCTGTGACTAAAACTTCTGTATCAACAACTTGGAAGCAGCTTTAGGTTCTCTGATGCTTCCCAAACCCACCTAGCATTCATTCCTTGTTTACCTACTAATACCCTTTTTTACACAAGGTCCCTGACTGAATTGCTCAGTCACAATGTGACTCAAGACTTGTGATATTGATATGGGAGAGGAGGAAGAGACTCGGGAAATGAATGCTCTGTTGTTTTGCTGGAACAATCTTGTGAAAGGCTGTGCCTTCTTATCACTGAAGAAGTCTAAAAAACTTCCTCTCCTGCCACTCCAGTGAATTTTTTGGGCAGGATGTCTTCCTTCAGGAGATGCTGGAATTAATGTTGTTTTTCCACTAGAAAGACTTAAGAAATGTGTATTATATCCAATTTTCCATCTGATAAAATTGAAACAAGAATGTTTCAAATGTTTTGAGTAAAAAGGCTCGAAGTATAATGCAGTCCCTCAAAAACATTTTTACAAGTTTTCTTCTAAGCGGTCGTAAAAGAGAACTCAAATCTATCAGTGAGGTTYCCATTACCTCACTGAGATTAATGAACAAATTAACTGACAATTATCACTGCTGACATACTTCTATAATATACCAGACCTGTCCAGATACTCACTACTTGTGAGGGACAATTAATATGTCATTTCATATATATTAATTGTATCAATATATACTTACTATAATCTCTCAGTATGCGTAGGTACAGAGCTTTTGGATAAAGGCAGAACAGAGAGTATGTAACAGTATTCACCACCCTCAGTCTTTTCTTGTCAGGAATTAATTACATTGTTCTTTAGTGCCATCTAAACAGTGAAATGATACATGAGGCTTTTGCAAAAGCYAAACTGACAAAGGGAACCTGCTAAACAAGTTAGCTTTGAGTTACTGATCGGATGCCTTGGGGAAAGGAAGTTCTACGAACTACTGTGGTGGCAACTGATGTCCCAGTGTTTAGCAAGGTCTGCAGCCAAATTTCTCTTCTACTTTATCTGAAATGTGTCTGCCAGGGACTATAGGTACCTGGGAGACATTTCTCATTCTGATTTCTGTATTAGGTTCTCAGATTCCTATGTGATTTATCACTACATGTTTCACAATGACACTGACTTCAGCTAYGTGTGTATTACCTTCCAGGTTTATGTGAATAATCAATTGTGTATGATGTTTTAGGGCATTGTTGCACATCTATGTGAAGTATAATAGTTTACAGTGGGAAAGGTGCCCTGCTGTGCCTGAYGTGTGCAAACAGAGAAGGACTGGTGGCAGTGTGATGGTTGGAGACATCCTGGGCACAGTAATCACAGAATGGTAAGAGTTTTCAATTCTCAGAGAACTAAGGAGGGGAGTCAGCAGAACTGCTACCCTGGACTTCTGCAGGACAGACTTTGGCTTGTCTAGGAGACTGGCTGAGTGAACCTCTTGGGAGGCAGTCCCAAAAGGCAAAGGAGTCCAGGAAAGATGGACATTCTTCAAGAAAATGCTAGTGGCAGAGGAGCAGGTGSCTTCCATGGGCTGAAAGACAAGCTGAAGGGGAAGATCACCCTGACTGAAAAGGGAGCTTTGGTCTATGAACTTTGGAAGAAGGGGCAGGCAACTCAGGAGAACTACAAGGATTTTGTGAGGTAACTCAGGGAGAAAATTACAAAGGTCAGAGCCCAGCAAGAACTTAGTCTTGCTATTGCAGTAAAAAGGAGTAAAACATGATTCTATAAATACATTAGTAATGACAAGAGGGCCAAGGAGAATTTACCCCCAAGGTTGTGGGGCGAAACATAGTGACAAAGGATGAGGCTGAGGTACTTAATGCCTTCTTTGTGTCAGCCTTTAATAGCTAGACTACTTGTTCCCCAGGTACCCAGCTTCCTGAGCTGGGAGACAGGGACAGCCCTATAATCCAAGGGGAAATGGTCAGTGATGTCCTTGTGATAACACTTGGGCATGCACAAGTTTATGGGRCCAGATGGGATCCACCCAATGGTACTAAGGGAGCACATGTAAGTGCACACCAAGCCTCTTTCCATCATTCATAGTCCTGGCTGACTGGGGATTTTGTAAACCCTTTGACAGTTTGCCACAGCATTYTCCTGGAGAAACTGGCTGCTCATGGCTTGAACAGATGCACTGAGAAAACYTGTCTGGATGGCCAGAGAGTGATGGTGAATGGAGTTACCTCCAGCTAGCAGCTAGTGGGATTCCCCTGGGATCAGTGTTGGGGTCAGCCCTGTCTGTATCTGTCTGGATGTGGGGATCTCAGTAAGTTCACAGACAGCTGATGGCTGGGGATGTTAATCTGCTGGAGGATCTATACAAGGATCTGAGCATATTGGATCAATGGACCAAGGCCAATTGTATGAGGTTCAAGACGGCCAAGCACTGGGTCCTGCCCTTGGGTCAAAACAGCCCCAGGTGGCACTAAAAGCTGAGGGAAGAGTAGCTGGAAAGGCACCTGACAAAGGAGGAGCTGGAAGTGCTGGTTAACAGTGGCTGAACATGAGCCAGTGTGTGTCCAGGCGGCCAAGAAGGCCAGTGCCATCCTGATCTGAATCAGATATAGTGTGGACAGCAGGACCAGGGCAGTGATTGTTCCCCTGTACTCAGCTCTGGTGAGGYCACACCTCGAGTCCTGTGTCCAGTTCTGAGCCCCTCACTTTAAAAGGACACTGAGGGACTGGAGCAACTCCAGAGAAGGGCAATTTAATTTCAAACATGTGAACAGAAAATGCGTAGCTTAACTTGCAGGAATATGATACCTGTTGTAAATCACCAACGTACAAAGAAACTTTCTCAACATGATTTCTCAAAATATATTGAAGTATGGAGCTTAAGTTACTCTATATCTACAGTATAGCAAAAAAGAACAGGTACTGGATAGTTAGTACGGAAGAGGTTTCGTAAGAAAAGGAAAAATTTTAAATCTAAAGTCATAAATAATGGATGTCTTGTTAGAGTAATTTGAGTTCTGTAAAAAGAAACACAAGAAGAATTAATGCTTGTATCTCTTTGTGTAAATGATTCTGCTTTTGTTTCTTTCAAGGTAGCGAAATGTGAAAAGTACAATCTGGAAGGGCCTTTG